ATATATATGTCCGATAAATGCCGGTAAGACGTTTAAGGATAGATTTCTGAAACCATTTAGAGATAAAAATTCCAATACCAAAATGCTGAGGCTGTAATTTTTGAATTATAAGCATTTAAAGCATGAAATAAGAATAAAGAGACTTAACTAGATAGAGTAAGGAGAAAAAAGTTGGTTTTACAGAAAATAATCTCTATACTGCCAAGTTCGCTAAACAGAATAATTGCAACATTTTGGCTATGGTCGATTTGGACGCTTTAAGCATTTGTAATCATCATTCTGTCTTTGTTGTTCATTAGACGTAAAATAAGAATAGAAATACTGAAAGCACTGAAAGCGTTCAAATCGCAGCCTTTGTCACCGTATTAAGCATTCATATATGTATAGTATCATCGTTTCTCTCTGGTATCATATTAAATCCTGCACATGACTGGATTAGAATCTTGCCATCGTATTGGCTGCTGTCAGTGCTAGTATTGCAGCCAATACGATGGCAAGATTTTAATCCAGCTAGCAATCCAGCAGGAAAACAAGCATTGTATGTCACAGACTTTACATAGTGGAACACAGTTTTGTGTCCTAACTGGAAAACAGCCCGTCTCATCTGTGTCTCTTGTTGGAAAGCTCCCTATAGTTAGTGAAATTCAGTAGAATTTCTGTTAGTAATTTTGTAATACATTGTAATACAATTTATATTTTTGTTTATTTGTAATACAATTTATATTTTTGTTTATTTGTAATACAATTTATATTTTTAAATTTTAATTTATATATTATTTTTATTTATCTTTATACAATTATTTTATTGCAGGTATTGACATATTACACTTAAAACATTTATAACATTTTTTTATTTAATTTAATTTAATTTTATTTGTTCCGAATTTTACATTTACATTATAATCATATGTTTTTATATAACCTTCCCATTATCTTTTTACCAGCTGTTATCCATAATATGGCGACGAAATGTTGCAAGTTATTCTATTCAGCGAACCTGGCAATGTACGAAACATTTTTCATGACCAATCCAATTCATATAGTTGGTCTTCTTACTCTTATTCATAATTTAAAGTTAGCAAATTGTGCCATAAGCCCTGCGCACAATAGAAAGAATAAAATTATATATTATAGATTAATTATAAATTGGTTTTCGGAAGAAACTGAGCAAAATGTATATTTTTAATTATATTTATTATTTTTATTATAATTCTGTCTTGAGACGGTCGAAAAAGTTTCTAACTAATTTTGAAAAAATTTATATTAATCAAATACGTCTTTTTAAAAAATTGTTTTCCCGTAAATTGTTTAATTTTTAAAATTAAAAACATTTTAAAAAACTTAAATTTTTACACAAAAAATTCGGAATCTGCGAAAAATCATCGTATCATTTTTTTGTAAATCTATTTAAAAATATTTATTTGTTAAATTTTATCCAACAATATTTTATTAAGATACAACATTAAAAATTATTTTAAAAAATTGCAATCGTTAAAAAAATTTCAAAATTTGTGAACAAATATCGTGCGCGCATGTGAGTGTGTGTGTGTGTGTGTGTGTGTGTGTGTGTGTGTATATGTGTGTGTGTTTTGTAGATATAATTAATTTTTTTAAAAACAAAAGAAAGAAGTTTAAAAGTATCTCTAAATATTTGGACGATAATGAATTAAATCCTTTCTTATCTTATGGCTTAAAAAAGAAAGCAAGTTTTGATAATTTTTTTCAGAAAAAGTATAATAAAGATACATATTCATTGTTTTCACATATTTGTTATATTTTTCTCTTTAATTTTAAATTTTATGAAGTCAACGTATTAACTTTTAGTCTACATAAAGTATCGGGAAAGAAGCCTCTCTGATTTGAACATGGAGCCAGAACGAAAATACTGCAGGTATTAATCATCTGAAAAAGTTAAAAAATCGATTTTCCTCTTTAGAAAGAAGATCTCTATTGGATAGACTATGGTTGCGTTCAGCAGACTCGACTGTCGTGGAGTCAGTCAAGCTCTTGCTCCTATTGGATGATCTAAAATATTCTAAAAGAATACACAAATAGCGAGCGCTCACGCATTCGCAACAGTTGAGTTTACTGGACGCGACCAATTTTGGTAATTGACTTTAAATAAAAATTAACAAAATGGCGATTATTTGAAAAAAAGTTTGATTTTTTTACCTTAAATTATTTTACTTTTGCGATAAAAAAAGTATCATTGATATTGATATAATTTTAGTCTATCCGGTAGAAAAAGTATTGCTCTACAATCGTGCAATATTTGAGAGCGATACATTCAATAGTTTTTGTTCTATCTTCCGTTAGATTGAAAAAATGTTTCGAGAAAAACGCGTTTAAAGTTTCAAGTTTATTTTTTTTTATTATTTACGTTTATATTTGCTACGTTAAAGCTTCAACAACATTCTACACACTTGGAGCTATCAAATTATGCAAAAAAATTTTTCATTTTTTTATCTCATTAATGGACCGACATATATATATACAGTTACTTGTTACGAATCTCTTTCTGAATCACTGTTTTCGATCTATTTATAGTTTACGAATATATATGTGATAAATCGTGACGATCGTAGCGCAGTGTGTAGCGTGACTGCTCTTTGTGCCAAAGATCCAGGTTAAAATTTACCCAGAACATCAAATTTTAATGGCTACTTCTCGGAAGGCAATAGCAAACCTCTGAGAAATATCTTTGCTATTTAGATTCGGTTAAAAAACTGTAGGTCTCGTATATCAATAGAAATATGTATATACTCGCCAACACACACGGCAACACGCGTGGCGTTTTACTCCAAACTCCTTTCTTTCAAAGACTATGTAGAATAGAAAAAATTGAAAGAGGCGATATCCAGCAACGAACGAAATCAGGCTGATATAGAATGTGTGATAAATATATACAACCTTACAAATTATACACATATGTATTCTTTATGCGATTGGTTACAAACATTTATTTGTACAAATCATTGTTGAAGTATGTGCAAACGCAAGATCAAATACGTAATTTTAGAGTACTTCCATACTATCTATGTCCACTCCAATATCGAGAAAATCATCGTTATAATCTTGAACTTGTCTCTGTACCAACGGATGTTCAGAATGATCTGGATCATCTGTTACAGGACTGGGTGGTGGATTTGATACCGTGCGATCGGAATCTACTGGCATTCTGTCCATGCCTTCGCCACGTCGTAGTCTTGCTTCTTCTGCGATTTGTCTTGTTGAAAGTTCTGCTCTTGTTAATAAAGCTGGTAAATCCTTTTCAGATCCATCTATAATTTTAAGACAAATTGTAGATTAATGTTATATCATTCTCTCTCTCTCCCTTCCCCTTCCCCCCTCTCTCTCTTTCTTTGTCTCTAAATATATATGTTGTTCTATTTAAAATAAATATATAATATACCCTCAAAACTTCTCATTAATTCCTGCTCCCTCTTCTGTCGTCCTGAATCACCAGTTTTCCTTCTTTGTTCGCTGGTCTCTTTTTGGTCATAATAAAATATCTCCCTTATTTTTTCTTGAGGAATATGTTTATCATTTTTCACCAACCAAAAGTATATTCCACCAGCAGTCCTTCTACGAGATCCATTCATTATTAACATTCCACCATCTTCTTCGATCTTCTTTGTTTTTTGGAAAAAATCAATAGCTTTTTGTTTACCAATTATATCCACCACTCGTCCTATAACAGAAAGATTAAACAAAATACATATAAATAAACATTAACTACAAAACGGACTCTCGAAATTAAAACAGAAAGAATCAAACAAGGCTAACGAGAGATATATACAATATATAATATTTGATTCAAAATCAATTAAAATTGTGATGACAACATAATAAATCTGTAAAGTTTTCATATTATTTTTTGCATACCATTGTATTCTTAATTTCATTAATCTTGTTTGATTCTTTTTGTTTTATATTATAAATAAGGTATCTAATATTTATTGAAATAGATTAAATATTATCGGATGCATAAGTCACAAAGATGTTTTTTCACAATCTTTTTATAATGTACAACTTATAATAAAGTAATCGGTTGTCATATAATCAAATTGAAACAAAAATTTTCTTAATTTTATTAAAAGATTACATTTGTATGTGTTATCTCTTCTCTTCTATGTAGCTCAATATGTAAAAAAGATATTTTCAATTACTTATAATTTGAAAACCACTAATGTTTTTAATATTTTCTGAAATTATATATTTATATATTTTGATATATATTTTCTTACTTATAAGAAGCTCTTTTCTTTCACTGAGCTTATTGGTTATGTCAGTAGCAACATCGGCATCTGTTGAATCCACAGTTGTAGATAAATCTGCTATTATTCTAACCGAACCTTTTTGATTATCCACGGAGTTTCTCCTTTTTCCCAATCTAAATTTTACATCACGTCTGTCTGAATTTGTTCTTTTATTAGTTAATCTATGTTCATTGTCCTTTTCTTCATCAGAACTATTATTATTACAAGGTTCCCTGCCATTCTCTGCATATCGTAGAGTAAAATTGTAACTTTCGACATTACGTTCTTGATACAACTTTTTAGTAACACCACATGATGTTAAATCTTCGGTCAAAGATTCTTCCTGCATTTGAGTACACCATACTTTGTATTTATCATTTTTGGTTGGCAAATCCTTCCACAAATGCTTATTCTTTTTCAATTTAAGTTTTGGTTTTTTAACATTAGTCTGTATGGAATCCGAGTCAGAATCACTTTCAGAATCTGCAGAATGATCAGATTCATCACTATATCTCATTTTTGTACATGTGTCTGTGACAGATGTCTGCTTTATGTGAGGTCTTTGTAAAATTTTATAAGTTTCAAAGACGTCGCTGGGCTATATAAAGAAATAAAATAATTATTAAAAAATTAATTTGTTAATGCCAAAGCAAATTTATGTTATACAATGATACATAAGATAGTGTAAAATTTACATTGTGCGATGTATTATGGGATCTTTCCAGCTAGAAGACAAACACAGTGTCAGAAGTACTATGTAAAGTTATTGTTGTTTCAAAGGGCTATTAAATTTTTACAACTAAAATTTTGTATCTTTCCTAAATTGTTAATACATAAGCCAAGAATTTGATACATAAGCCTCTATTTTAGCATCGAATACACAATACATGGTATGACACAATATTAACTTGTAATTGAAACATTGCTTAGTCATTGATACATGATGTCTGCTGGATTGCTAGAAAAACAAGCATCTTGTGCTGCTAGTTTTAATCTTTTTACGACTATAGTATATATAAATAAAGGATATATATAAATAAAGGAAAAGTCTTACACATATGTCAAAATATTATCAAATGTAATCTTAAAAATTCTCATCGGAACATATTAGAAGAATAAATGATAATGATAATGAAATATAAAAATTCTGTATCATGAAGTGATATAAAATAATGATATAATCAAACACAGCATTTTAGCTGTATACAATTGTGTTGACTTACAGTTAAAAAGCACGAAATCATACACTGTGTTACACAATGTTGTTAGTGTCCCTTGCTGGAAAATTCCCTATATAAGTAACAAAGCATAATTTGAATTACACAATGATATTGTACTTCGTTTATCTCTTCAATGTTTAAAACTTAAATATCTAATGAATAATGGTAAACGTTACAAATTTCTTTAGTATTCAAAGAAATAATATTGTAGTTAAAATTACTTCGTCAACACATTGTACTCTGCTTTCCTATATCCTGTATCTTATTTTATATTATTGCAATACATTCTACATCGCAAAATGTACACATTTAAACTACATGATAGAAATAATTACATTAATGTAGATAATATAAATTTCAAATCAATGATTTGAAAAATAACAACAGTTTATCGAATATGTTAAAATTTATATTTATAAAAGTTACATTAGTATTTTAAATAAAAATTTGTCAGTATCTAACCTCATCGATGATTTCACCATCTTCTAATGGTTCCGCTTCCATTCTCTTGAGTAGGAAAATTTATCTTCCTCTGTTTTCTTTACAAGTAAAAAAAACGTTTTACAATACACATATGCACGAGTACGCGTACACACTCATCCACGCAAAAAGTTAATGCTTTAAATAAAAAAAGAAGAAATTTTCTCTATTCTGACGGAACTTCAAATATTTACCAATGCGTCGTATATATTTCTATCTGATTTCCATGACACAATGGAAAATTTTCCTACTACCTGCTTCTCATGGACAATGTCAAGAAATTTTTATGCCAAATCCAAAATTCTGAATGATTAAAGGGCCAGTTTCACCTCTAATCAACGCGTTGTCTACAATAGAACCTATGTTTTATAAAACACATGATACACATGATATATCATTTTATTCTTGTGTTCACTATTGTTTCACCGAACACTAAACAGTTCTGTTCGTGCTATTTGCACTTTTTGCACTTAGCATCTACGCATTCTCTCTTTTCAACACTGAGGCTATGTTCCAAAACTTCCTCTCCGAGGAAGATTTTACTCTACATATCTATAATATACGTTACGTGTACTATATATTTCGAGTAAAATTTTCTTCAGAAAGGAAGTTTGGAACGTAGCCCGAATATATATTGGGTTGTCCAGAAAGTTCGTGCCGATTTTGAAGGAAAATTGAAACGCAGAAGATTTAAATTTTTAATTTCATTTATTAAATTTAAATCTTTTGCGGCACGAATTTTCCGGACAACCCAATATTTATCCTATTTTAAGTGTAAAAATTTTTGGAAATTCAAGCAATTTTCAAGCAACGTGAACAGACTTAAAACCGGCAGTACATGATACTTTTTCTTGCTAGATTACTAATTAGATTGGATATTTTTCATTTGGGCCTGATTGTATTTCATCAATTTACTTTGGTTTTAAGCGAAGCTTAAAACTTTCTGTCTCTGTCTCTTAAATCAAGACAGATGGAGTTTTACGTCTCGCTTAAAGTTAAAGTGACATTGGACGTGTTCAAGTTGATAAAACGGCTGCTCGCTGAGCAAACAATTGTTATTTATAGATCCAACCAATCATATTCAATAGTTCGGTAAGCATGCCTAGTCGCTTTCGTGCGGCTTGAATTGATGCAACTAGGCCTTGATAACACAAGTCGATACAAGTATCATTCTATCTTTGTCACTCTCTGAATGGCCTAGTTTCATCGAAGATTTAAACCAGATCAGAATGTAAGAACCAACCAACTATAGTTGAGTATTCTCCTGTTATAGTCGAACGACAGGGGAATACTCGATTGTAGTTTTAATTCTTACATTCTGGGAGTCGATTTTGTATCTTTAAATAAGGTGAAAATTACAAAAGTGAGTAAATTTACTAGATGTTGACCAATGAAATAATCAGTATTCTAGCTCACTTTTATAATTTTTATCCCATTTCATGATACAAGGTTTGTTCAAGATACATTCGCTGAAATTAAAATAATTTAATAGAAAGTTACTAGTTAGTACGTGTATAAAGTGCACGATGTAAACTAGGTAATTAACTGACTATCGTTCTAGGCTCCTATTCTTGACTATGGTCAAAGTCTCGCTACAAATGCTTTGAAGTATTTGATGGACCAATTAAAAGAAAGAATTTTATAAATTGACTAGTTAAAAAACACTTCAAAGCGTTTGCAGCATCGCGTTGACTATACCCCTTGAAAAGTATGGCATACGAAAAACTAGGGTACTGTAGTATTTGTAACGTTGGCCACTGAGCTATATATACACTGATGAATTATACTACTATGGGCATCGAGAAAAATTCGTGACGAAGCGAGGCAATATTTACAGTAAAAAATATTGTCTTGCTGCTTCACTGTTTGACGTTTACTGCGTCCAATCTGAATTACGCATAAAATCACCTTACGATTCGCCGATTAACTTAATAAGCTGATTAGTCCATTACAATTGGCCAATCGCATTTATTATTTCATTTGACATAGATGCAATTGGCCAATTTCAATGAATTAATTATCAATTAAGCTAATCAGCGAATCGTAAAGTGATCCTAATTGGCTAATTTAAAATAATATAATTTCATTGGTGAACCAGTAAAAAATTACTAGGAATAGGTTGGTGTGATTGGTGTGTAATTAAACTGTGTAAGTGCACCGCTCCCTCTTGAAATGAGATGAAAATTACAAAAATGAGCAGATTCACTCAAATATTTATAATTTAATTGATCAAAGTTCGAAATAATTTAAATAAATTTAAACATCCTGTGTGGTTTAGTTGTACAAAAGTATCTTAACATAATAGAATGATTGAAATAGAAATGGCATTTATCAAATCCTTGAAATTTGTTCGCGTTATCAAAAAAATAAATTATTTCGATAAGATATTCGTAAAGATATTCATAAAGATATTCGGAAAGATATTTTTTAAAAATCAAAATTTCAATTTCTCAAAAAAATTTAAATCAAAAATTTTGCCAAGATTTTATTCAGTTTCAATTTAAAATTGTATACCGATCAATTAATTATATTCACGTATAGTCACTCAAAAACGTTTGTAATCGTACCAGCCCTATTACAAACGAACAATAAATAGAATAAATTATGCGCAATGGAGTAATATATATCTTGCGGTCCATTTATTAAAAATATGCAGTAACTTCACATCGTGTATTCCATTACTTTCAGTTACAGTAGAATATGACACAATAATATAATATAATATTGTTCTCTATCTACGCAGGCTGTCCTCGAGACGCTTCTATAGCATATAACTTTCAAAATATATAATGTACGTTATCCTGTGTTCATCGTTTACAAAAGACTAGATTTATTCTCTTTAGACATTTCTCGGTATAATTTCGATTTTCTAACTAGAATCATGGACTTTCCTCCTAATTGTAAGATATTTTTTATTCTTTTGGTCGGTTATTCGTAGATGTGCCGCAAACTTTTGCGAAAATTTGCATCGGGAATTATTTACGATATATGGCACACCACACTTTGGCGCGTCTCGTACTCATATGGCTTACGTGGTACAGAGATTTTTATTAAGTGAAGAAAATCGTACTTGCAATGTAATATAAACACGAAACACAGTGTCAATCGCGATAATAAATTCACATAGAGTGCATAGGCTACATACTACATAGCGGTTTTACAATTTTTTTTATTTGTATCAAGGATCTTTAGATATTATTCAAGACAAGATCGATTTCAAAATAAAAAATCAGCAAGTATGTGTGTGTGTGTGTGTGTGTGTGAGAGAGAGAGAGAGAGAGAGAGAGAGAGAGAGAGAGAGAAGCATATGAATGCATAACTATTATACCCTATTATATTCCATTTTTATTACAACATCGATTTAATGTCCTAAAATACACGTGCTCTCGGATTGATTCGTAATATTTTCAGACTGTACTTAAGACAATCTTAAATATAAGAATCAACTATGAATATTGGCTTATATATGTAGATATAATTTTAAAGTTTCTTAAATATAATTTCTTGCGAGAATCTCTTCGAAAACATGAACAAGGATTGGTATTATGAATATTTGCTCTAAAATTTATGTATAAAGATCCTTAATCGCATGAAACGTATTGCATTGTATGTCGAAGACGACAAACTAAATTATATATAAACATATAATGACAAGCTTTTAACCACAGCGCAAATTTTGCAACCTCTAATGTGAAATATTGAAAATTAATTTTATCTTTCGTATACATATACATATTTAATGAGCGTGAGAATAATATCAGGCTCAATATAATGTACGGGATGTTGCAAAATTATATCAAGTTACACATGAAAAACGAATTTATTTATAATTGGCAAGATAATTGACAAATTTTTTGCCTCGATTCTAATATTTTCCACTCATAATATAGATACTGTTTTTATGAATATTTTTAAAAATATTTTTTTTCATTTATCCTTGATCTCTTTCTATTCAAACACGCATTTAAAGACTATAACTCAAATTATAAAAATTTTTTCTAATCACAGAACACAATTGCTCTTATCTTTTCGTTTTTGTATAATAATATATAATTATTCTTTGGAAAACTTCAATGCACTTGAAAATATAAGTACTTATGTACTAAAAAGATAAAAAGAAACTTGGTGCATATTAATTTTTGAAGAAAAAAATTTTTGTGAAGAAAAAAACAATGTATAAAAAACGAAATATTAGCCGTTAAACATTCTCCATTTTGATACAAATATTCCGCGGACTTATTTTGTGATTTCCTGTGACAAGTTGATTTTCCTTTCCCTCTCCTCTCTCCCTCTCTCTCTCTCTCTCTCTCTCTCTCTCTCTCTCTCTCTCTCTCTCACGCACGCGATAAATATAATTCTACAATAATTGATTAAATTCCGTATCGATCTTGCTTAAAAAATGACAATAAAATCTGAATCGCTCTTGTATTTGGATATATATAGTCAACAATTAAAAGATTTCAACTTTTTTTCAAATTGTTTTTGAAATACTTATTCACAGAGTGATTGGTTCTTATTTATGAATCCATAAATAAAAACCAATCGCTCGGTGAACAGACTGTATTTTGAAATCCATCGAAAACAAGTATATTCTGAAATCCATCGAAAGCAACTCTTTAATTGCTGACTGTACATACAAGTGAATCAAGCACAATCGTATAACAGTACGTTCAAATCGAGCACGTTAATTTTCAAATTACTGTATACAAACACCACACAATACAGAACACATTGTGCATCATTGCAATTTTTTTGTGATTTATTTTAATATTAAAGAAAATCTAAACGGATAGAATATCTTTCGCACAAGTACCAAACAAATAGTTTAATATGATCTAATAGAGAAGAACTGCCTACATTTTTTTATAATGCATCATACACATCGCATAAATGCAATGTATTAACTAGACTCAAACGACGAACACGATCTTTCTCTTAGCTTAACAAGGGCACAGTTAATGCGAAACGTCCTGATGATTGTTACTTAAGCGTTATTTTCTCTTTGTAGAAGAGAGGAAGATAAAAAGAGATAAATGTAGTATTAATAGTATATAGTATATAGAGTGTAAAAGTATTTCATTAGTAAAATATGTATAACAAAGTTAGTACGTGTCAGCATTAATCAGTTAATGTTCGATTAAAGACATCAATCATCTTGTTAATCAACTATTAGAAATATTTTACCTCGGAGTGTCCGACAGAAATGTACTACGTGATTCATTATTGTTTGAAAAAAAATAGATTGGACGCCTCGCAAGAATCTGATTCTGGCACGATGATTGATAATTATCTTCGATTATAATGTGTGTGTGTGTGTGTGTGTGCGTGCGTGTGTGTGTGTGTGTGTGTGTGTGTGTGTGTGTGTGTGTGTGCGCGTGCGTGCGTGTGTGTGTATATGAACCGATTACATCGGATTTGTCAAAAT